GTGTGACTGTCTGTCTGGGAGAGTGAGTGCGGCAGCCAGTATCAGCTAATTAAAATTTGAAAAATGGGAAATCCCAATTTAATTCATCTCCATGCCAAACGGGCGACTGGAGGTTTATCATATCACCAATACTCATAACTGATGAGGCACATGCGCAATCAGCTTTCCCCTACAGTCTAGCGCCAACTGAGCTCAATCTTTAAACCGCGAGCAGCTGCAGACTGATCATCCGTTTGTTTGAGGCTGAGTCTCATACACCGAGCTGGGCAGGAAAACTGTGCAAACTTCTGATTCTGATGACGAATCAGAAGTTCATCTGCTCTTTTTCGCACCTGAGCCGCTCTCAGTTTGACCAACACGACAAGGATGGAAAGGTGAAAGTTCGGATTTTCTAAATCAGTAGTTTTAACGTGCGGTAATCCGTACTACTGACATAAACAGGGGATGTGAGGGACAAGTTTGAAAACAGAAAAACTCATAAAAAGGAGCTCAGCGGCGAGGATGTACGCAGGTAAGAGAAATCATCCATATTTTCGCACTTTAGAGCAGATCGCGTATTTATTTACTTAAATGTCTGAGGGGAAAAGAGAGAGTTGTTAGAAACGCGGGTGTCTCAAATCTGGTTTTTAGGGGTTTTTTCTTGGCTGTTTTCTGACATGTTTGTGTAGTTACTTTGTGCAAAGAAATCGGTTTTTTTTCTTTGTTTTGAAAGTTTCTCTTGTGCATCGATTCGTGGTGCTGAAGTAACAGCTCCCCACACTTGCTCGGTGCAGTTACTCCAAAAAAAGTAAGAAAAATAAGCAACACGGATTTTTCTTTAAAAAAAATCAAAGTAGGAAATCCGTTTTTCCCCTTTTGCGTCAGCGTGTGGTGGCTCAGTGCCTGAGCGAGTGGAGGATTTGGGCTGCTGTTGCTGCCTCTGTTCCTCTTCTGCACCCACTTAATATGTTCTCAGAAGAAGGGCTGCAAGTAAATTTTACATGCAGCATGGCAGTGAGACACACATCTTATTTACCTTATTGTACAACAATAATGAATTGAAAACAGAGTCCGAAGTTATAAATCTGCCTGTTTCCCAGGTCACAAGCTGTGACAGACAGAACATGCAGCACGAACGTCCACAGCCTATATCATAACTGTCATTTTTGTTTTGCTTTTTGTCCCTGGATGTGCAGCAACATGCCAACATGCCACTTTGGTGAAAACTCAAAGCAAGTTCTAAGCAGACTGGTGCCCCTGGGCAAGATGATTTATTTGGGTCACATTTTATGTAATAGGTACAAATGTGGTGCAAGATATGATTTCATGAAACTTTTTTTTCTTTTTTTAATGCATATTTACCATTAGGTGTCCTTGAACAGCTTCTTGGCAGACAGCAGTCCTCTCACCCAGCATAAATCTTGACGAAAAAAAAGAGGATGCAAAGATAAGAGTAAGAGTTAAGGAAGCAGATGGTAGAAGCAGCTTGTTCTCTCACTCCCAAGCTTTGAACCCCACACCCTTGCCTTTAATATACATTCAAGGATTCTGCTGAGTGTACTGAAACATAAAGCACAGACAAAGAAATCCTGCTAAGCTCTCGTTTCCTTTATTCCTTGATTGTACCTCTCCTTACTATGATTTCACACACTGTTGACTTCTGTACAGTCTGGATATTTCTCCTATTCATTGAGGGGGGATTTGCACTGGTGCAAAAGATTAAAGGTAAGATTGCAATCTTTATTCTGCTCCTTTGACAAATGGACTCCTTTATACATTTCCATATTCTTCTTTAATTTGCGATGTATTTATTTATTTATTACACAAATGTGTCCATAACTGCATTTTAGATGTCAGCAGCTTTTACCCGGATAACTTTTTGTAGGTTTGAATGCCTTGTGTTGCTTGGTTTTCATAATGTGCAGATTCAGGTGCAGGGTCGAAAGCAGTTAACCCTTCTCTACGAGCGCGTCACTGTGGAAACTGGGTACGAACCACTGATGGCGGCACTTTCAGTTCCCCAAACTACCCAAATACGTACCCTCCAAACAAGGAGTGCCTCTATGTGCTGGAAGGTAACTGATGAGAAGCACACAGCCCAAGCTGAAAAACAGTTCAGATATTGGGACATATTCTTGTATTGGCTCGGATTGGCTCTGCGGGAATCCGATGCCATCGACACATATAAAACCTATTATGTACAATGCCTCATTTTCCTCTTTTGTCATTAAAGACAAAACTGTGTTATTTTAATGTATCGTTCATTAACTTCTCAACCAGTAATGATATATAAAGAACATACGAGACAGAGTAGCATCTGAAAGGAGCAAACGTGTCTTTCTTGTTGCCGTTTTTATAGCGTTTTGTATTCCTGAATCGGCTCTGACAGTAAAAAAGTGCCAATTGTTCCCCAGCCCTGCCTCGCCAGAGAATAGAGCTGATGTTTGACGAAGTCTTCCACATCGAGGCGTCGTTCGAATGTCGCTTCGACCACATCGAAGTGCGGGACGGTCCCTTTAGTTTCTCCCCGCTCATCAATCGCTTCTGCGGCTCAGCCAGTCCTGGACTCATCCTGTCCAGCGGACGCTTCATGTGGATCCGCTTCTTCAGTGATGAAGAGCTGGAGGGGACTGGCTTCCAGGTCCAGTACAGCTTTGCTGCAGGTGACTAAAATGCAGAGTGGTGGATGTGCCATTTTCACACTGCTCAAAAAACAAATAGCCTTTCCGGACCAGTGATTCTGTGCTCTTCTTATTTCTCACCCCGAAGATCCTGAATTTCATCTGCATGTGGGAGGACTTTTAAACCCCATCCCAGGTAGTGCAACAGCATGTATAAGAAAACCCATGCAGCTTCAGGTGTACATCTTTAGACTGCCATGTGAAATAAAGTTGTTACTTTCCATCTGATCACATGTCCTCCTTTTTGCTTCCACTTTATTTCTTGCCAACTGTCGTCTCTGGGTCAGATTGTCAGTTTGAGCTGTCTGGAGCTGACGGTGTAATCCGTTCAAGTCAGGTGGACGAAGAGTCCAAAGTGAAGCCAGACCAGGCAGTGGACTGCATCTGGACTATACGTGCCCCAACAAAGAACAGGGTAAGATATTGAAATGACATCGTTAAATTTGCATTTATACATCCAGTTCTCCATTTCTGCGTTTTCAACTGAGTGATAACTGAAAGTCTGTAAAAAGGAAAAGCAGAAAGAAAGGAAAATAAAGGAAAGGAGAAATATTTCTTCTCAACAAAATGAATTTAAGGAGAGGGGATATAATTCATTGGGAACAAAATGACAAACAGTACAGTGGAATGAAAGATGAGTCTGCAGCCTGCAGCTTATTTTGCTTTCTGCTTTCACCCTTCACCCTCTCCATATCTGCTGTGATGTATTTTTCTATATTCTTTACATTATTTGAAAAACAAAGCATCCCAAGCATCTTTTTTATATATCAAGCAACTACTAATCTGCAGCTTATGCATATAAATAATAAACATGTGCATCGATAATCTGACAGTCAGCTTAAGTACATCTGCAGTAAAGCTGAGTCAAAATGATTTATATCAGTGATGATTCAACTGTCTTCTGTTGGCAAACAGAAACTAGCTGAATTACAAACCCATGTTGTAAAAAGCTGTGAAATGTAAATAGGAAGGGAATGCAATGCTTTGCAAATCTCATGCTGTATGTTATTTACAAGAGAACATGTTAAATGGTAAAGAGTTTAAATATTTCATCATCTACAGTGCATTTTCAAAAGATTGAGAGAATTTGGAGAAATCTCTGTGCAAGGGACAAAGCTGAAAGCCAGAATTGGATGCTGTCATAGTTTAGCAGATTGAGGATCCAAATGCAGACTCTGACAGGCAAACCTCGATGTAGCAAGAACCAAAACTGCTAAAGTCCATTAAGAAGGCAACTGAAAGTTGGGAACACACAGGGAGAGAAACATTAACATACAGACAGAGACAAAGGGAGTCACTAAGCCTGTCTATACAAGCTGACACACTAAGGGCTAATCATGAGGGTTGGGAAGAGGTAGGAAATGAGGAACAGCTAAAGACAAATTAGAGACAACAGAAGTGAAACTAGAAATAAAACACAAAAAAAGGAAGTCACATACCTACCACAGAGATAAGACCTTAGCACACTCATATTTGACAAAGACATGAAGGTAAAGCCAGGAAAATAAACATGAAACGACTATGCTAAATCGACCCAAACCAGAAAATAAACTGAAAGGCCCAAGATACATAAAGATCAAGTTTAACAGTCAACTAAGAACCATAAAATAATAGTATTCAGTTAATAAGGCTCAAACTCTGGAACATGACAGATGCCCATAATCTTCAGGCTCTCAGATGGCACTGCATTAAAAACAGGTGTGAGTCTGCCATGTAAATAACTGCATGAGCTCCAAAATCACTGTCTGTGAACACAGTTTGGCAAATCAAAATTTCAAACTATTTTTTTGGAAAACTTGGGCGCTGCTTTCTCTGGACTAAGGAGGAGAGGGACCATCTGTCTTGTTATGAGCGCAGACTTAAAAAGCATGAATCTTTGATGGTATGGAAGTGAAATAATACCTATGGAAGTGGCTGTAAAGGTACCATGTAGATGATATCTTTTTCAGATAAGGCCTTCTATATTTCAGCAAGACAAAACTAAATGTACTGCACGCATATGTCAACATCATAGCTTTGTAGCAGAATTTCTCGGATGCCAAACCGGCCTGTCTGCAGCAGAGACTTTTCATTAAATCAAAACATTTGAATCATTAAGCAAAAGCTACAACAAAGAATGCCCAGGACTGCTGAGCAGCTAGAATCCTACATCAGGCATGAACAGAACAACATTCCTCTCTTAAAAGTCCAGCAGCTGATCCTGCGCTTCCTAGGACGGCGATCTTTTGGACAAAGATCTCAGATGTTGTTCCTGAGATCTGCTGGAGGCACTCATCCCGTATGGGGGTACCACTGTTGCCTTCACCCTTCACGTCTTCTTGAGCTCCTCTCTCAGCCCGTGGTACTTCTCGAGCTTCTCGCGTACCTTTTTCCTGATGTTGTTATCACTCGATAGAGCTACATCTATCACTACAGCTGTCACTACTATGTCTGGTTGGTTAGACATCACCAGTTTGTCTGCCTGCATCTGGAAGTCCCACGGGATCTTAGCTCGGTCATCCTCAACCTCCCTAGGGGGCATATCTCATTTTGACCTCAGGACTTCCAGGCCACTTCCAGGCCCTGTAGACTACAACAGCCACTTGGTGATAGCGTTCCACGTATGTCCTTGCCTGCTAGCTCCAGCATGCAGCTGGGGTCTTGCCTGGTGTGGTAGACCCCAACCTCTATGGAAATGGCAGGGATATTATTCCCAGTTTAAACAGTTGACCTGTTTTTCATGTTTATGGGATTTTACAAATCATTGGATTCATTTTTTATACAGCATCCCGACTTTTTTGGAATCAGGTTGTGTGTGAAAAATGAAAAGTGTACACTGTTTCCCTCTCCATTACTCATTCCAGATTTACCTGCGATTTTTGGAATACCAGATGGAAAACTCCAATGAATGTAAGAAGAACTTTGTGGCTGTTTATGATGGCAGTAATGCCATTGAGGATCTAAAGGTAATTCTTTGCATAACATCATAAATATTACTCTGTCTCTGCCTGACGCACTAAGTTTGTTGCGCATTACATTGCACTATGCTTTCAGGTCTGAGGTTCTTCTTCTGCTACAGGATTTTTCTTTCTTTCTTTGCCATACATGCTCCTTTTTAATGCCATATTTAAATCACAAATATGTAGCAACTGTTCTACAGACCTTGGCCTCATTGAGTCCGCACATCAACATCCATAAAAGAAAGTGGTGTGTGGTTTCTTGCAGGCCAAGTTTTGTAGTACAGTAGCTAATGACATCATGCTGGACACTGGTGTGGGAGTAGTGAGGATGTGGGCTGATGAGACAAGCCGTCTCAGCCGCTTCCGGATGCTGTTCACATCTTTTGCTGACCGTGAGTGTCTCCTTCAGATTATTCTTTCCCCCCTGCCCATCATTTTGCTTTTTCAGCTGCGATGGGAAAGTACATGTATTAAAGATACGGTGCATATTTTGGTGGTTACTTTTAATCACTGCACCTTATATAGTAAGTCTTAACAATAGGAAATAATAATAGTTCTGATAAGCATTTTATAGTTGGATCTCTGATAAGGACATGCCACATTCTTTCTGCTTGTAGCTTTCGATGCTTTGTCAGGTTGTACACATACTTCATATACACTTGTGTTTGTGTTTTAGCACCCTGTATGAGCGGTGCGTTCTTTTGCCACACTAACATGTGCATCAACACTTCTCTGGTGTGCAACGGCATACAAAACTGTGTCTTTCCTTGGGACGAAAGCAACTGCAAAGGTACCTCGATTCTGCTGAAGCCCTTTGGCAGAAATGCTTTCTTTGGTCTGCTGTGATGTGTTATGCTGTGTAATTCTGTCATGCTTTGCGAAATGATGGATGTCATGTCTGCCTTTGTTGTGTCACATTGAGTCTCCTTGAGGATCATTATGAAACACACACACCGGCTGCAGCAACTACAGAACAGTTAATATCGATGTGTTTCCACTTGGCAGGAAAAGCACAATCTCATAGTTTTGACGCGTTTCCAACTGAAAGGCCTTCAAGGCTTTTTGGCTAATAAGTGGATCTTAAGCATTTCTAGTGCTGGGATGGGTGTTTATCAGTGCCTTAGCTTTTAGTAACTGCTTTGAATTGTTCCTGGCATCCAGAGATACGAATTGTGTTGACACAGGAGGGAACAAGTAAATGACTGATGCACTCTCGGTGCCTTTGAAAGCCTCTGATATTTTTAACTCTTTATGTCGTCATTTCAATCCTCCAGAGAAAAAGAACAAAGGTCTTTTTCACCAGATCACAAAGACTCACGGGACAATAATCTGTGTGTCTACGGGGGTGGTGCTGTTACTCCTAATTGTCTCCATTCTGGTGCAAGTCAAGCAGCCACGTAAGAAGGTATTTAAGAAAATTTGTTGTCGAATTCTTCTAACATCATCCCACTAAATTTTTCTCATAGAAACTACAAATAAAATAGTGATTCCCTGTCATATTTTAAAGGTGTTGGTTCGTAAGAACAACTTGTTTCCTCGTGCTGACTTCCAGGAGGTGTTTGACCCTCCTCACTATGAACTCTTTAATCTCAGAGACAAGGTCAGTTTTATTGCTTTTACACATTATATTATTGGTACATGTTTATATCGTTTTAAAACTACTAATTTATTAACGTTGTCCTTCACAGGAGATTTCTTCAAGAGACCTTGGGGAGTTGTCAGAGGAGCTCCAGTCCCTACAAGCGCTCAGGAGGTCCTCGTCAGGATCGCGCTGCATACACGAACACCATTGTGGCTCTCTGGCCTCTATCAACTCCATTAAAGGTAGCCTAGGGGCGCAAGGCCTGGGAAGGGGATCCATGGAGCTTCCACCTTTCAGAGTAGACTTCCAAAACTCCTTGCCTCCCCTAAGAGATTTCAACAGCAGTCTGAGGAAGAAGAGCTGGCCCAGTATGAAATCAGGCCGAATACAGGGCCATCATGGTATGGGAGAGAGAGCTCTGGGGCGGCAGGACAGAGTAATGGAAGAGGAAGAAGAGGAGGAGGACGGAAGGTATGATGTGTATGTGCGGAGAGGCGGAAGCCGAAGAGGCTATGAAATAGCCCAGCAAAGATCCCTGTCCATGGACTTTTGAGGAGAAAACACAAGATCTGCGTTAGGGTAGGTAAACACTGCCTCAACTTTAGGGAGGAGCTTTTCAAATTTACAGGAAAAAGGAAAAAGAAAGAAAACCAATGGCTTGTGCAAGTACACTTTCCTTCTTCTCAGTAAGGCTGGAAAACATAGGCTCTGTTAAGGAGCAACAAGAAGATCCTCAGGCACTGCCAAATCTGCTTATATACTGAAACAGCAAACAGAGAGCTGTTATCAAGTCTCTGACACCGGTGTAAAAGTGAAACTAAAAACAAATGCTGTATAGTGTTCTTGTCTTGATGTATTTTGTTGAATACATTTAACTGTAACGCGAATAGATGTTGTGGAAGTATGTTTTGAGTCAGTGTGTAGAAGAAGTGTGATTACATTTTGAGTATTAGTGAAAAAACTACATTGGTTAAAAACAAAAAGGTAATTTCCACACCTCTGACTTAGGAAAAGTCAGCTCCGAGTTAAAGTCGGTTTTAGTTTTACTGAAGGAAAGTCTGGTTGTTCTGCAATCCCCTTTTGGGCATGTTGCACAGGTACACAGGTTGGAAATTTTACAATTATGTCACTCTTCAGTGACACATCTGACCTTAACAAAACCGGAAAACTAGGTTTCTTTTTACAATCTTTAAAAACAAATGGGTTACCAGATCTTAACACAGTGGGGGAGAAGCCAACATAGTCCTGTTAATTAGCAAGGAGGGTATTTAGGAATTAAACCATTTAATAAGAAATGAGTACTGACCTTAAAGAAAGTGTTTGAATGGAGAAAGTTAGACATGGTTCGCCTGGTTTCACAGTGGATCTAAAATGCTGTATTCCAATGTTTTCATGTGTTGTGATCTTAAACACAGTGTCTCTGAAATTCCCACAGAACCTCTTACATAACCTTGTAGCTGGCACAAACCTCATTTGGAAAGCCTTGCGGTGTAGTCAGCATACCTCTGCAGTTCATTTGTCATCCTCAAAAAAATTCACTGGACCAATAATTAATGGGGCAACATAGTTTGTCTGCATAGACATAGACAAAAGCCTGACAGTGCATTCTCAGTGCTAGTGTGTGTGCTGGTAACACAGTGTTATACAATTCTCATTTGACCTCTAAGGACAGACTTATAAACTCACGATTAAAGACTTCCAGTTAAGTTTCTATGCACTGGCTACTTTGTACACAATAAAAGCTATGATCAAACAAGTGATAGATAACATAAATGGGTCAGTCATGATAATGTACTCTGTTTTATATGCTTCCATAAGTTGACCTTGTTTGTAGGGAATATGCATTATCAGCTCCGGTACACAGTCTTTTTTTTTCTTTTTTTTATCTCAACATCCATGAATAGGCACGATATCTGGAACACCTCAGGTAATAAATGACTCCAGAGAAATAGGTCAAAAGGTACAGGAGATGTAGGATTATTGCTGTATAATAACTCTCTGTGTGACAATAGTTAAGCCTGTCTTCAAAGGTGTGTCTCATTCTTTTCTCAGTTTGATCAACGCTGGGAAAATATCTGCACTAAGGAGCTAAAGAAGTTTAAGTTGGGTTTTTTTGTCTGATTTTTTTTAGATTGTTACAAGCCCTGTGTGCTTATAGTCACCACAAATAGTTTGAAAGCCATAATCATTTGTTTGTTGTTGTTTTTTTACTACTTTTAATTCATTTATAAAAACATTTTTACTTTGTCACAGTTGGTTATGCTGATTCCTTTCAAATTAAAACCGTAATATTCTACAAACACTTTTGCTTATGCTTCATGACATCCATCTATCACCTGCAGGTGAGTGTCTGGGATGGGAAAAAAACAACAATGCTTGACCAGAACTGAACCTCAAGTTTACTTTTAGATTGCAGTACAGTAAGTCAGGTGATAACTTACATTAGAGCAGCAGGTTGGCATGCAGTTTTTCCACCATTCAGAGTATCCAGAGGCAGACAAGAAGGCTTGGGAAATGTTTATAAAAAGTGTTTACTGTAACTATGATTGGAAAGAATGACGTCTAATGTTTAGCACAGTTTTTGCCTTGTACTACAGACGATGCTGAGGAGTCAAGAATAAAAAGCACTTTATTGATCAAAATAAATAAATGTGGTAAAACATAATAACATAGAAATTAAACACAAATAGGTCTGTAATTGTAAAATAACATCTTTATAAGTCTTTAATAAAACTATACAAGCAGTTTTTTGGCCTCATTGATAAGAAAAATGCTGCCGCACTATGACTTAGTACACGTCAGCATCAGCAGCTGTAAATGAAAATATAGCAACAGCTTGTTTAAAGTCTTTGAGTTTCCTTCATCACTTTGTTCGGTGTTTTTTCATCTTCAGTCCACAAAAAAACTCCTTTCAGTCCAAAGTGTGCAGGCAGACCGGGCTCCTAAGGCCAGAATGATGTATTGCAGCACGACATGGTCCATCCATGTGTTTATAGTCCAAAGCATTAAAACGAGGTCCTCAATGACTCATCAAAAAAGGGCATGTGATTATAGGCCACCAAGGGTGTGCTCTCCCCAAGAACAGCCTCTGTGAAGTTGGGCCTTCTCCAGGCGTACACCATGCTGTTCAGGAAACCTTGTAGAGACACGCTGGCAGCCTGCAGTAAACAAAAGCAATATTTTAGCTTGCAAATCTGCCATCTGAGGACATTTTAACCTACTCATTGAAAAGCTGTAACTAAAACATACCTGTATCATATAAATACCAAATAAACTGTATTGTTCAACGTTTGTTCTCATCAACAAGGTAGATAGCAGGATGAGGAAAAGCGCTACAAGAAGAAGAAACATCAGTTTAATTTTGTCTTAAAGTTGATATTTACATTAGCTTTGTGCGTGCGTTTGTGTACCTGGTGCCCAGCAGATTAGGATGACTGTCACCATATTCCTTGAGGTAGAAATTGCTCTTTTCATTCTTCTTCTTGAACGCCCATCTCCCTCCACTGGAAAAAGCCCCTCCGGATCTCGTCTTTCATACCACTTACCAACCTTATAGTAAATAATCTGAACCACAACAGGAAAAAAAACATTTGTTTCATCAGATTACACTGGTATTTAAACTTGCTTGTTATGTTACAGCAATGTGATTGTTAGTAACTCACAGAGCAAGACACCAGCACCGGTATCACCACAATGAAAAGAAAAGCTCTGATGAAAACGTCATGGATTATCTCCTGTGGGCAAAAGAGAATTATGTATCAAAAATATGCTTATACAAAATGTAACAATGCTAAAGAGCATTATTATTCTGTTAAACAGAGACTATACGCACACACACTACAACAGAGGCCTCGATAAAAGAAAGTGTGTTAAAGGGTTTCATAAGACAGCTGTACACTCACAACATCTGAGCAGGATTCCCTCCAGACGTGCAAGAACAAAATACAACTGTGAAAAAGAGAAAATCAAAAAAGGTCAGAAACACAGGGGAACAGACCCATTTCACTGCTGTGACGTCTTTGAAAGATTTTGAAGGAGGCTGAATCTCTGGGTTGTATGCTCACCTGGTGCAGTACGTGCTATCGTTACTGAAGACCCGATTTGGCAAGCTGCTGGTAGCTGGAATCAGCAAAGTAGCTTTCATGAAAGGAGTGAGCACATATGCTAAGTAAAGTGCAAGTGGGATCAACCTGTTATATTGGGCAGAAGATAGAGAAGAAGAATTAAATTGTGCACACATGGGATACCATCTGGTGGGTTAGGTAAAAACTAAAGCATTTATTAATTCATTTATTTTTTGAAAAAGTGGTTAAAACTTACCACACAATGGCATACACAGGTATGACTATTTCTGGTCTTCGACATGTATTCTGCAAAACAAGAAAATGTCAGTGAATCTGGCTTCTGGACAAATTATGATCACCAGATGCAGCGAATGCCTCACCAGATCATCATCCGCTGGTCTTTCTCTCCATCCTTGGATCGCATTCTTTGACTTCCAGGCGTAAACGACCACCAGCAGGAATGAAATGAAATAAAATGTCTGGAACAAAGCACAAAGAACAACGCAAAATGTGACAGTTTTACCAATAAAGTAATTTTAGACCAAACATTAATATTTACCTTAGAGTAAATGTCAGTTAAATATAATTTATGTGAATACTGATGAGCTCTGGTTCTCAGAGAACAACTTTATACTTGAAGATTTCTCAGTTGGTTATGCTGATTCTTAGGACCAGTGTCCGACAAACGTGCAAGAGGACCTTTATCTTTACGAGGACGATCTTTATGAAGCAACGTGAGGACATTTTATTATTTGATTTTACATCTGCTGCTTGTAAAATGAAATGAGATATTTTTTTCTTTTTTTAAACATGCTTCTTTGTATAAGAAGGATATGAAGTATAAATACAGCTATTTATTTAAATGTAAATGTAAGGTACAGTAAACCTCTGCTGACATACCTGCAGACATAAAAATGAGATGCTACATTAGCTGAATTTTAAAATGTAGGGCCATATAAAAATGATTTAATACCATGCTCCTTTAGGATTTGCAGTGGATGTTTGTTATCTTATAGCAGGGGTCCCCAACTCCAGGCCTCGAGGGCCAGTGTCCTGCAGGTTTAGATCTCACCCTGGGTCTACACACCTGAATCAAATGATTAGTTCATTACCAGGCTCTGGACAACTGCAAGACATGTTTAGGAGGTAATTTAGCCATTTGAATCAGCTGTGTTGGCTCACGGATAATCTAAAAACTGCAGGACCCCGGCCCTCGAGGCCTGGAGTTGGGGACCCCTGTCTATATATTATAGCATGTAAACTAAATTTGGAATTTAATGAGTCTGTTGAAGTGCATAAAGACTCTGAACCCCAAAATAAGGTAACCTTAAGTTAGGAACCGGTTCAGTTCATTTTTTTTCTTTCTTTTTTTATATTGAACTCTTAAAAAGGTTAAATATTTTCCATATCTGCATTTTGAAAGAATTCCACAATCTGAGCTAGAGGAATTTGAGAGTTTGGTCCTACAATACATTCTTTTCTTTTCTTTCCTTTTTCTGTTGCTTTTATGTACAATCAATATCTACTGTCCTTAATGCTTATCAATCTAAATTCTAACGAGAACTCAAAAGACTTTAGTCAACCGAGTTCACAATGGACGTTGCCAGTTAGAAATTTATGCTGAGAACAACTGTTATGAAAAGCATGTGGAGCTCCTCCTCTCAGCCTGAGGGATGAATGTGGACATGTTTGCATAACAGGGAACGTGACACAGCAAAACTGCTCACTATGTCATTTTATAGAGGCAATATAAGGAACACGTGTTTTTGATTTACTTTACTGCTTGAACTACGTGATATGTCCTCGGTGCCTTTAGAAAACGTTATATTATTAGACAATAATCTGATTTTATTTACTCTGTAAAGGTTGATTGTTATAGCAGGAAGTACCAAAAGGAATGTGAAACCACCTAAACTTTGCCAACCTGTTTAAGATTAAACTACTCCCCCACCAAAACGCAATCCTGTCAATGATTTATTTGCGGTGGTAAAAGCCCGATCAAACAATGAAATAAACTATTGCTCACCAGTGACAGCGGCAGGCCGTATTGGCAGATGACTATACTGTTGTCAAACGGTATTTTGTTCATGACACTCGTGGACATCAAGATCAGAGCAGCTAGGAGGTCGGCGAGAGCAAGCTGCACCAGGAGGTGTACCTGCAAAACAGTACGCATGAAGGCTTGTGCAGTGTTGACAAACTACATAGTTCCTTATGCACAGTAATAATTAATTTCATTAAATAATCCATTAGTAATGCATACACCTAGACTCACCTGCTCTTTTAGATGCTGCCATCTTGCTATGGAAACCACCAGGACGGAGAAACTCCCAATCACACTGACGTTAATAAGAAATATGTAAACTATTAAATGACCGCAGGTCATTTGAAGGAAAAGTTTAAAAGAAATGAACAACTAACATTGTGCCAAACCACAGTTCACCCAAATACTGCTCAGGTTACATTAACTTTTCATACCCTTTATTCAGGTAATACCACTATTATTCAAGCATTCTGTGGCAAGCAGAAGTCTTACAATGAAAATGTTACTTAGCTAAGAAGTATTGTAACAATGTACTCACTATTAGTATTAGTATTAAAAGACATCAACAGCCCTGAAAAGTGACACCGTTGCATTAATGCATATAATTATTATTAGTACTCATGCAAGATCAGGATTTTCTTGCTGCATTAACTTAAATTATAGCTAATCTTAACTACTCTGGGTAAATATAGGTAATGCTTAGATTTTTAAATTTATTAAAACTTGTTAAAATTATGAAAAGGAAAAGCAGCAGCTGTCACAATTGTAATGCCAACATCTTTTGTTGTTGTTTGTTTTTTTTTATATGAAAGATAACTCAAAATATCAGCAAAATGATTCCCATTAAATTTTCTGCAGCAAATGGGTGAACTTATGATTTTATAAAGTAACTAAAGCTGATAAATGCAGATAAATAAAAAAGTTCAATATTTGCCTTTTGAGAGGTGGAGTAGAAATAGAAAGTGGCAAGAAAAGACTAAAGTACGATATCTCAGTTTAGTGATAGTGATAGACTAAATTTGCTTACATCACAAAGCATGATGGCTTTTTTTTGGGGGGGGGGGGGTAAACAGACATGTTGCCACATGTCTTAGACATATGGCACCATGTCAACAACAACAATTACAAACTATGTAATTCATTTAAAAAGTTCCTCTCTCCCTTATTCTTGCTTTGCTTTTGTCAAGAAACAAAAAGAAACACAAAAACTCTTCAACAAAGGGTTAGGAGTATCATTGATCTTTAAGGAAGTGTTTAAATTACAGGTATCATCTACACTAAATAACCTAAAACTCAAACATATCAAACAGTGACGATGGATTATGTAAGATAACTGAGAGAATTCAAAGAGAAAGTCCCTGAAATCTCTGCATGGTGCCCTGCTGGTCTCAGTTGATTTTTTTTTTTAAATTAGAAACTGTCATAAAGGTAATAACATGCAAAATAAAGTTTCTTGTGTTTGCTATGATCATATTTATGATGATAATAATATGAGGAAGTGCATAGGAGTACCTGGGAGTGAGTAAAACTATGTACACCGTAGAGAGGACATCGATCTGAAAGCAAAATTTGGAAATGCCTGAGTCATTTCAGTAAGATTTTATTATACAGTTCTTTTTTCAAAAAAAAAAAAATGATTAAAGCCCATTAAAAACAATGAATGTAGTGCCTACCTGAGCTCCACTCAGCAAAGTATTTAACTCCATCCTGAGAAGTAAAAAGTCACATTCGGCATGTGCACAGCTCCATAACCTGCTCTCATTACAGGCCAATGAAAATGTGACTTCTTTGTGTATAGAGTGCATCTATAAAAAGGTGCACCTTGTCACATGTTGTGACTCCGCCTGCTTGACTCAGTGCATGTGTGTGTTTGTGACAATACTTGGTAATCCCCAGGTAGAGTGGAATTAGTTTGCGCCTTACTTGATGCCTTCCAAGATAATGACCCATTTAGAAGATATAGTAAGACAATGAAACTGGAGTTTCTCTGTACTGTTTGGGGTTTTGCCCTCTTCTGATTACTGCAAACTAAGAAAATAATAGAGGAAGTCTGAGAAAAGTTTTGCATCCCTAACATTCTTCAGTAAAGGTGTCATGTCTTAGTCTAGTATAAAATGAAAGCATACAGCAGATCAAATATTTTTAAGGTTTTCATGGAAACCTAAATCCTAATCTTATTGACTTAGTCCACAGCTGAAAACACATGTGCAATAAAAAAAAAAGAATACTGATAATAAAAAAATATTCTAACTATTTCGTTTTTCTTTCACTTGTATTCTGGGTTATTGACTTTTTGTAAGATGCAGTGCTGACTAATCAGTGTGTCTTGCTTCTTTTTTCTGGAAGCCATAGCCTGAATATGTAGTACATCCTACCCTGTTTAAGTATCACATGGTTTAATAACACAGTTTGTTCTCACACTTTGTTATCTAACACAGTATATTTATAGTAAATTGTAAAGACTTGCTTTACTTTTAGTTCTGGGAGAACAGGAAAGTCACTAGTTTTTTTTCTCTAAAAGTTAAAAAAAAATTGTACTCAATTTTTATTTTTTCAACACAGTGCTTAATTTGTTTACCGCTTTTGTCAAGTACAGTTGGGTAAATAATTATTTGATCTATTTCTGAAATTCTGGGTTTGCTCATTTCTAAAGAAATGAACACTAATTTTTATTGTAGTGTCATTTTAAAAGGAGAGAGGTAGAATATCAAGTAAAAATCAAGAAAACCAATTGCATAAAAATTACATAAAATGAGTGTTTGAGACAATGTAGCCAGAGTTCTGACACCCACAGTTTCGCTGTGTGCCCATGTTGCATGCAAAGCGTACCTGTCCACAGAATCAGTTTCTTCCATTCCAACATCTCCATCACCATGAGCAAGGCCAAAGAGCTGTGACAGCACATCAGGGACAATATTTGTAGACCTACACAAGGCTGGAATGAGGAATGAGACCATCACCAAGAAGCTTGGTGAGAAGGTGGCAACCATTGGTGCAATCATTTGGAAATGGAAGAAATTTAAAATTACCTTCATTCAGCCTTGGTCTTGAGCATCATACAAGATCTTCATTGGGTCAAGATGATCATGACAGAAAGTGGTGGATCCATCCAAAATTACACAGAAGGAGACTGTTAATCATCTGGAGACAGCTGGGACCACAGTCGACAAGAAATCTTGAGTGGGTCGGACTAGTAAAATTCCTGTTTATGTAGTATGAATGGCATAGAACAAATGACAATAAGGGAGGTCTTTATCAGTGCAAAAAGGTGTAAAAAAAGTATGAAAAGTGCCAAATATATGCCCTCCTGCTGTCTGTGGGCCAGATTAGAGTCTGTGGCGGGCCGGTTCTGGCCCCTGTGTCTTGTGTATGACACCCCTGATCTAAATGACTAAGAGAAGGCTTGGGAAAAAGTGCTGTGGTCAGCTGAAACCAAAAACAAGCTATATGGCATCAATTCAACCTGCTGTGTTTGGAGGAGGAGAAATACAGAGTATGACCCAAAGAACACCATCCCCACAGTCAAGCATGGAGATGGAATCATTATGCTTTGGGGCTGTTTTTCTGATTAGGGTACGGGGCAACTTCATTGCATGCATCGTGAAATCTTGGCTGAGAATCACCTTCCCTCAATGAGCACACTGAAGATGAGTCCAACACACACTGCCAAGGCAAGAAAGGCTGAAGAGGAATCATATTAAGGTAATGGAGTGGGCTTACCAGTCTCCAAACCTCAAGGATTTAGAGTTAGTCAAAATCCCACTTTAGATGTGTGCAAACCTGGTGACCAACTACAAGAAACGTGTTACCCCTAAACCAACAAGGGCTTTTTGGGATGTATGCTGATCATAGAAGGGCCCTAAACCGTTTTTGCCATTCGTATAATCTATAGATGCACACACACTCACAGGATGAGGACTGGTCGGTGTATTAGATTACAGTAATTGAACGTCTGTGTTACAGGGACATCTAGTGGTAAGAATTGGGCTCTGCATTTTGTTCATATGAGAGCAGGAAAAAAATTATTTAAATTATATTAAATAAACTTTCTTGAATGGTTAAAGACTCTCTCATATCCCGTGTAATACCGCTCTTTATACCGTACAAACAGACCTCAAGCGCAGCACCGTACAAAAGAGTTGTGGTGTTTACAGAGATTGAGTTGATAAAGTTGATTCAAACTTGTGACGTGTGCGTGTTCCACGTTGGCCCGGACGTGGCAGTCGGCAGTGCTCCTGTGTGGAAATCACGGTGAAAAAGCGGATCAGAGATAAAGCACCACAGTCTACGTGTGTGTTCCTGCTGCGGCTTGTGTCACCTCTACTCCCACAAAGTCAAACATCCACGGACAGTTATGGGGCTCACCATCTCGTCCATCTTCGGTCGGCTTTTTGGCAAAAAACAGATGAGGATTTTGATGGGTGAGTGCTAGCTTTAGATAGCGCTGTTAGCTAGTTGTTGATGAGCGTTCGTGGGAGAGCACTTCCCAGACTTCTAAAATTTGGGGGGAGAAAGAGGAGGAAAAGCACAAAGAAGAGACAATTATATTATATTAACTATTGTTGTTCTTAATATTTTGTTGTTTGAGAAAAGTAACATTTTTTTTTGTCGTCGTGGGTTTTAATTTTTTATGTGTGTGGTTTAAAAGAAGTTCCGTAGTAAAGTCTGTTAAAAAAGCATCATTTTAAAAGAAATTACGTTAAAATACTAAAAGAAAAATCTTATTGAAATGTTATTGTCATTGGCAAATGGGCACTTGAAAGAATAACAGTGCGACGATTAAAGCTGTAAATGTTTTAACTAAAAATGCTAACATACGTTGTTTGACGGTAACTCGTTACGGCGTTTTCACGTTGTTTAACTCGAGTAATTAAGCAATTATCTTCTGATGACGTTTATTTGCGCAAATGGCGTGACAGGGCACGATATTAGTCGACTTCTGGTGAGTGACTGGACTGGAGGAAGACGCTGTTACGCAATCAGTTCAATGTTCAGCACTGACTTGTATTCACTTTTAATATGAACGTTGACTTGTATTTAAACCACGTTGTTTCCCTGCAGTTGGATTGGATGCTGCGGGAAAAACGACCATCTTGTACAAACTGAAGCTGGGTGAAATTGTAACTACCATCCCAACCATCGGTGAGAGACTTTCCTTTAGTTTTCCTTTTACAACTTGAAGTTCAGTTATGGTTCTTTGATGGTTCCCTCCAGTGTTTAGCAGTGTTAAGAGCTTCTTCTTCTTCTTCTTCTGTAAAGGCTTTAATGTGGAGACGGTAGAATTTAAAAATATCAGTTTCACCGTGTGGGACGTGGGTGGCCAGGACAAGATCAGGCCTCTCTGGAGGCATTACTTCCAGAACACACAGGTATGTAATATGACCGTCATGCAGTTTTGTGACAACTTTGGATTAATAGCCTAAAGGTAATTTAGCTCAGTTCAAGCTTATCAAATCTCAATAACAGTTGCTTTAAAGTGCTTTATAGTGGAAGGTAAAGCTCACACAGTGTTAGAGAGAAAACTCCTACAGTCAGGTAAGCCTCAAGAGGAGGCGCTAGGTAACAGCAGGAAGAAAAAACTCAGTCAGAAATACACTTGGTTAAGGAAGCCATCCAGTTGGAGGTAGAGTGAAAGAGAAAGTAAAAAGAAGTGTGTAAATGAGACAGGCAGTACCGGAGGCAGTCTCCCAGCAGCCTGAGCCTATAGCAGCGCAATTAATGGATGCCCTAGGGCAGCGGTCCCCAATCCCCGGGCCTCGGACCGGTACCGGTCCGTGAGTCGTTTGGTACCGGGCCGCGAGAGTTGAGGCTCAGGTGTGAAATGTATGGTTTTCAGGGTTTTTATCGGTTTTCAGCGTTATTTTGTTATCGTTTTTATCGTTAACTCGGTTTTCCTGGGTCTTTTCACTTGTGTTATGAATAAATCTTCTTTTTTTCGGTACTGGTACTAGTTTTATTTTGTTGTATTTATCCGCGACACCTTAAAGGCCGGACCGGCCTTTAAGATTTATTCATAACACGTGAAAAGACCCAGGAAAACAGAGTTAACGATAAAAACGATAACAAACTAACGCTGAAAACCGATAAAAACCCTGAAAACCATACATTTCACACCTGAGCCTCAACTCTCGCGGCCCGGTACCAAACGACTCACGGACCGGTACTGGTCCGAGGCCCGGGGGTTGGGGACCGCTGCCCTAGGTCATTTGATCAGTACTATCTGTAAGCTTTATCAAAAAGGACAGTTTTAAATCTAATTTCAGTAGTAGAGAGGGTTTCTGTGTCTAAAATCCAAACTGGGAGCTGGTTCCACAGGAGAGGAGCTAAATAGCTGAAGGCTCCGCCTCCCACTTTACTTTAATTCCTTAATAGGGAGCCAATGAAGCCGATATGTGGGAAATATGAGCTCTCGTTCTTGTCCCTGTTAATACTTCTGTTAAAGCATTTTGTATTAGTTTGAGACTTTTCAGGGAACATTTAGAAAAACCAGATAATAATAAATTACAGCAGTTTAATTTATAAATAATAAAAGCACGAACTAGTTTTTAGCATTGCTCTGAGATGGGGTGTTTCTAATTTTAGTGCCGTTACATAGGTGAAAGAAAGCAGTCCTAGATATTTGTTTAATGGGCACATTGAAGGACACTTCCTGATCACAAACAACTCCCGAGATTCCTCGCAGTGTCCCTGGAGGCCAAGTTAATGGGATTCAAAGTAATCATCTGGTTGGATACCATGTTTCTGATGATTACATAATCTCATGTTTGGCATAACAATGTGTCATTGAGCAGTAGTAGCAGTTGGCAGCTAAGAAATGCAAAAGCAACAAAAAAAACTAAATGATGGCAACGCAGCCATAATGTTTAAAGCAAATGGATTTGTCAAAATACATAATGACTGGTTTTATTTTATGTCTTACATTTATTGTAGTTTAAGTCATTGCAGTTTCACCAAAGCTGTATGAACATGTCTTTAGTTGTTATCTTGTGGCATGTTTGAGTTGATCTTAAAATCTACATACCAGTACACTCACCATATTTGCTTTTCATTAAATGACCAACATTAAATTCTAATGTAATCACTTCAACAACCTCTCTTGTTGTGCAGGGCCTCATCTTTGTAGTGGACAGCAATGACAGAGAAAGAGTGGCTGAATCAGCAGAAGAGCTGTCTAAGATGGTGAGTTCTTGGCTAAATAAGAAAAACGGTTTCAGTTCTGTTCCCAACATGCTTTACAGGGACCCAAAGCATAAACCTAGTCTTTACAGGATGTACTTGATCCTTAAATATTTGTCTGTTTTTACTGTTAGATGACTATCCTCCTTACTGTAGGAGTCTGTTTGTAGTTTGAAGTGCTGATTGATTTGGTCGTGCCTAGAGAAACATGGATTTCTCATCATATTTTTACTTCTTCTGAGCCATCCAGAAGCAAGTAGTGTCTACTTTCTAGTGTTGCCTCACTGTTACTGGCATAGCCCATGAAAATGAAAGATGTGAGTATATGTGTGCATAAGCCTGTCCCAAAATAACAGCAGATCTTCATCCAGTTTACAATAACGGCCAAATAAATTCAAATTTACATATTGAAAATGGATTGAGGTATGTAAAACTGTAAAGTTTTACAAAATAATCATCGAGTTTGTGGACAAATAGAGTTGTACTGTTTGAGATGAGCATGCAACAATATTTACAGTGTAGAGCCATGAACCCGTGGTCCAAAAATTGAAGCGCGGAGGTGGTGGCATCATGATTTAAGATGACTTTGCTGCCTCGATAGGTCCCCGTAGTCAAGTTTATCAGGACTTGAAACGACAGTAAAGTCGAATCATTGGTGCCACACAAAGATCTAAACTCAGTAGTTTCACCCCATTTATTTTGCTATAACATGAAATCTTTAATCTGGTTTCTGCAGCTGCAAGAAGACGAGTTGAAAGATGCCGTTTTGCTGGTATTTGCAAACAAACAAGATCTTCCCAACGCCTTATCGGTCAGCGAGCTGACGGACAAACTTGGCCTTCATGCCCTTCGCAGCAAAACTGTAAGTAATTTGAGTAGAAAACAGTCTTTACACCAGAAAGAAAAAAAACAAAAAACAAGCACGTTTGGCGCTCTTTTCACAATCTCACATTATCTCACCCCCACAGTGGCACATTGAGTCTACCTGCGCTACCCAGGGCACTGGGCTATATGAAGGACTTGACTGGCTATCCCAAGAGTTGTCCAAGAACTGAGGAAGGACTGTTTGGATAGAAGAAAGAGACTAAACGCCACAAAATAGGACTGAAGGCACAGACATTCAGTCAAGAAACTTTCAAGCATTAGTCATCACACAAGGGATCAGGCTGGTGGAAAAAAAATTAATAACTCCTCTTTTTGATTGTGTTATCAGTTATCTCTTGACCTAGTGTCTATTCTCTTTTTGTTCCTACTTATCACCACTTATCATTTCCATTTAATGCCTTGGCTCCTGTCTAGGCAGCATCTGCAGTAATCATTTCCTTGTACTTAGACTTTATCTTCCTCAACCATTTACTAGGAGGGATATGACAAAATAAAAAACTTTATTTAAAGACAATTTATAGGCCACAAACTGTGAATGTTAGACCCAGCCCTGTGGTTCACCTCTGTGTCCTTAATCTAATGGCAACTCATTTTTGAAAAGGCTTGTGCCTTTTAGTCTGAGGTGCAGGAGGATTGCAGTGATTTTGTTACTAGTGTGGAATCACATGTATCCACAAAGGAGCATCGTGCCTTCTGGTCCCTCTTTGCCTAAATCTGAGTAATCCTTTCTTTATCACATTGTTAGGTCATGCTCCCTCCTAATATGCTTTTGTCTCTCTATGCTTATAAAATTATGCAATAAGATGTGGTGGATTGCATGCTGGGGTGCAGCAAAACCAAAGTGAGGACAGATTTCTTTCTGCAACTTATCCTGTTTGAACATCTGTGAATTTGGCTCATTTGCCTTTTTTCACTTTGTTTTTATGAACCACAATGGAAAAAGAGGGAACTTAAGCTCTTTTACCGTGTGATCTTCTATCCTCCCGACAAAAAATCTTTTTACTAAAAGGAGGAAGGAAGCATCTTTTCAGTGTTGACACACCACCAGTGTCATTGCAACACAGTAAAGCAGCATGGTTTTTTTTCTTTGTTGCTTTTGTCTGTTTCTCAGCTGTTGTACTGTTTTACAAATACTGTTTCATATCCCATACCTACCCATCAATTTATCTGGGTACATTCCAACATGTGCTTTAAGATGTTGACACTTGTCAAAAATATTCTCTAACAATATTTTCCAAATAAAGTTAGTGTTTAAAGATATTTTTCCGACTCTGCTCATTGTTGACGACATTCGGCGTCATTTGTCAGTGTTTTTTCAGGCCAGGTCTTTCTTGGCTTTCAGGTTTGTTTCATCATCAGTCAACATCTTTTTATCAGGAACCAGGCTGAGCGGAAATACCAGTATGTTTTGCGCTGTAACTTGGACAGACCTTGCAAATGGATCTCACCTTCTGCCTGTCTTTGCTTATATATTACTTGCTTTCAAGCCACCACATTTCCTAGCACGTCTTCCTTGGTGTTTGGGTATGACCCAAGGTCATCTGTACAGCGAACTGTATGGCTTCTGCATGTTGAAAATGGCCCTCAGGCAAGCAAGATTTTCTTTTAATTAATTAATTAATTTTGTTTACTAATGTAACTAAAGAGTTAAAGGAGAGGAAGCGATTTGACTGTAAACTAACAAACTGAGCTGGAGGAAAATAGCTATCAATGCTTTGAGGAAAACATTCAGCCTACGTGACCTTGATGCAGTTTCCCTTCATTTTGACTGCTAGTGGTATAAGATGGTGACTTGGAGAGAAAAGCAGGATTAGTTATGTGGATTTCTTCTAAATGTTAGTAAATGGCAATTTCCTGAATAAGAGTGTCTGGTCTTTTGTAGCAGTTTGGATGGAAAATGTCAAAGCTAAGTGCCAGGCTGTCAGATGCAGGGATTCAAGTTGAAAGGACTGAATAATAGAGAAGTATAATGACATATGGTGCACTGGAAAGGGCATAAAGGGAGAGCAGCTCACTCACAGCATCTGCTTAAATTAATACCACTGTCAAGTAAAGAGGAAGGGTAAAAAGTGGAAACGAAATGTTAAATGACTAGAAAATAAAATTGCTTTCAAATAAAAGCTTTGTAAAGTAGCTCTGTTCCCCCAGCATGTCCTGTGCTGAGCAGGAGCAGATGTGTGAAATTTATCCAGCATATAGTAATCATTTTTTAAATGGGAGATGAGCCCTAATTGGGATAGAAAAAAGTTGTATTATCATCTTTTCATCTTTACCATGTTGTTACTGTTGCAGCACTGCAGGGGGCGATAATGTCAAAGGGGAGTCAGTAGCTGCGACCAAATCCTCATTTAAGTTTGACAGTGTTTCTAGTAGATGTTGGCAGATGGCTTGAGCATGAAGTAAGGCTGCGGTTTAGGAAAGGCCTCAGAGAGGACTGGTGGCGGCTCCCGGGCTGGGCAGATCCCAGTGTACTAATGAGAAGTGAATTTATTGCACAAACAGCTTGTAGTGCAGGAGGTGGTCATACAGACGGAGAACCAGGGGCACATATCGTCGTTTATCTCCAATTCACAGCAGTTTAGTGTGCAATAAGATTAAAATGTGTGGCAATTTTCTGCCATGAAGACTTTATAGTCAATCAATTTTCAATAAATCAGTTGCCATAGTCGTCAGACTGATCTGGTGTGAGATGATCTGAGATCACCGTATAAGCACAACATTTACACAGTCTCTCTTTTGGTGCTTGTTACAGTTTCTCAGCATATCAAGTGGAGTAAAATCATGTATGACGCCAGGTGCTAAGTAATTAGGACATACACAGAGTTTATAGGTGAAGGTGTAAGGATATAATTGGCTTGCTATGATGCATGAGTGTCTGTTCTAATGTATTTATGACAGCTAATCAGGCTTAGTGGAGCTGGGTCATCACACAGTTTTGTGAGTGGGTGCAAGCGGTGTGCATCAAGACAGATGAGCCCATGTGTACTCTGCTTTGTTGATCAGTTTTTTTCTTCATATTTCTTAAAGCCTCATAGAAATACATTAAATGGGATTTAAACCATCACTTCTCAACATAAACAGAAAGGTAAGCATTACATTTAATTGCTGTTTATTACATATGAAGCTATATAAAAACAATATAGTTGGACTGTTCTTAAAGCAGAACACTTTCAGACATGAGATCCTTGCACAGTAAGTAAAATGACAGCTAAAAGTAATATAAGCTGCATGTTTGTCAGAGTTGAAGGACGAAGGAAGCTGCTATTTCTTCCAGGTGAGGCATCCTTCACAGATATAATACGTTAGCAAAAGCTGATTTGCAGGTTTTACATGTGCAGGATGATGCCGACGTTGACCCCTCACATACCGGTACCACAGCCCACCTATTCCCAGGCCAGGGAGAATCTGGTGAGAGCTATCCCACCCAAGCTCCTCTGTCTACTGGCCTGTGGAGGTAAAGATTGTCGCTACGAGGGACCAGAGTGCTGGAAGCTGAACCAGCAAGTTATTCGAGGCATTTTCTCCTCCTGGTGAGAGTGTTTGGCAATCTCACACATAATTTTGTGTTGCGCGTGTTTTCGCAAAACGGTAAGGAGTCCATGCTGACTGTGAACTTCTACTTGTCTCAGGGTAACAGATGACATAGTTGCCATGGCAAGACCATCAAGTTATCTAATTGAGAAGTACAACATCATAGATCAGTTTCAAAGGTAATCACTGGTCAGTATTGTCTGTGTAGTAAATTGATGCATGACGCCTGCAACCTTACAGTAATTACTGCAAAAAAGGAAGGACATAAAGCATCTTGTATCACTTTTTTACAACGACACTTGATGATCGTAGTAGTTTTAAAACTTCTGGAACTGTGGACACATAGCAAGTAACAAACAAAAAACCTTTGAGATGAACACCAAGTGTCTGCAGGTTTCCTCCAGTCTTTGACTTTATTTGCAGGTTAAACATCAGGTCGATCGTTAACATGCAGCTCCCAGGCGAGCATGCTCACTGTGGACCTCCTCTGGACCCTGAAAGTGGTTTCACCTACTCTCCTCAGATCTTCATGGACAATGACAGTGAGATCTTAAAACACTGAAAGCAAAGCATATTTATTTTCAATACAGAAAACAGTTTATTTTGTGTGCAAACATTATGCTGATGGCTTTAATGCTCTTTCCTTCAGCTCACTATTCTTATGTACATATGTTTATCTGCAGTTTACTTTTACAACTTTGGGATGCCAGATTTTGGAGTGTCATCTCTTGTTGGGTTAATTGACGCAGTGAAGGTTATTGCCTTTGCGGTGAGGGAAGGAAGAGTGGCCGTGCACTGTCATGCAGGCCTGGGGAGGACAGGTAGGGTTAAAAATATATTCCATGTAAGTAAGTATTGCATGTTGCAGATTGGCCACATATAATGCTCTTGCTGTGTTCCTGATCGCCAGGTGTCCTGATAGCTTGCTACTTAATCTACACCTTGCGCATCAGCCCGAGTGAGGCCGTCCACTTTGTGCGGATTAAACGACCTCGCTCTATCCAAACCCGGGCACAGATAAGCAAGGTGTTTGATTTTGCTCGCCTGCTTAGCACACAGCTGGTTCAATACCCAGACCTTAGCCTGAGACACGGAGCCCCTTTCACCCTGCAGCACTATCTAAACCGACAAGCACTCCTACTGCACGGCAAGGAGGCTCGCAATCTCAGACAAACACCAAAGGTCTGGATTTTGTCATCATAATACATTAATCCTGTGTCATGAAATGCCTGGATTGTAGAGCAATTAACCTTCTCCTCTTTTCTGACTTCCACTTGATTAGGTGGTGTACCTCCTGTGTGTGCGTCTCTCCTGCTTGGCTCTGGGTCTTCCTTCACCTCCAGAGGTCTATACTGAACTGGACAAGAGGTCCGCACTTAGGGTCCTGAGCAGCACTGTGAGAGAGACTCTGGTGTCCAAGCAGTACTTGCCCTTGCTGAGAGAAGGTCATAGAAGCTCGTGGGCAGGTTCGGGGTCAATGTCCTCATGGGATGACCCGTTAGGATTCTTGGAGAGGAAGAGGGAGGTACTGATGGACAAACGCAGCTACAGTGACTCTGATCTCAGCAAGATCAAGGTAAATGAGGTCAAATTTTAAAATTGTGCATCCAGAATTATTCAAATTCTTGAATAATAATGTAAAATGGGTCTGGTTATAAAGGATTTGTCCCCCTTTGTTGCGTTTTGTACTGAAGGGATCGGAGCTGAATCCATACTGCACCACAGCTCTTGGTGATGAGAAACACTGGTGTTTGCCGGAACGTATGCGAGCTGATCTCAGACCAGTTAGTCCAGTTTTTGGTGGGCTTTCATCAGGCTACCAAACCACCAAAAAGGAAACTCATATACTCAATATTCCAGTGTCCAGCATGAGAATAAACAGCAGCTGTGCTAAGCAGTCAAAGTGCAAGGCTAAAAAGGCTCTACCCAAATACAGTTCCAATGTGGAGGTAACCTTACATTTATTTTTATAAATGGTAACAGTAAAGAAAGCTTTGCTGTGGATGTGTTCTAACCAATGTCACATGCAGCTGTGCAGAAATCCACATAACCTAGGCCCGACCTCGACGGCTCGTCCTGTAGCTAAAGCAATGTCAGAGCAGGGTCCTCCAGGAGAAACAGTTCTGCAAAGGTCGGCTCTGCTGCAGGTAAAACGAACAAACAAGTAATCATTGTTATGAATCAGAACATATCAGTGAATTAATACTACCACTCACTTTTTCTATAGGAGGAACTGAATAGTAGTGAGTGTGGCTGGGCTCTGCTGGTCACTGAATCAGATCCTCATGTTCTCTGCTGTCTCTTGTGGACCTGGCTGGAGAAGCTGAGGGTTAGTGGCGTCACACAAGGGATTTCTGATTAAGCACCCTGTACTGCAGTAAACATTTGTCTCTCACTTTTATTGGTTTTCTCCAATCTCATTCAGGACCCTGTCCTCAGTGCCGAGGACATAGAAAGACTGAGTATTAGAGCAAGCAACAGGAATCCTCTCAGTGTGCTCAAGAAAGTAAGCAAACAATCTCCTGGGCTTTCTTACTAAGCATTTATACATTTATACGTAGATCTCCTTAGATGCAAGATGTTATTTGGGATATTACATTGTTACAGCCACAGAGACACACCATTTACTGTCTGCTGAGCTGCGTGAGCACAGTCACCAGCCTTTGTCCACACAGAGAGGAGGCAGTGCTTCACCGCCTGATACGGGCACTTACAAGGGTAAGACAGAGTGGAAGTTCAATGAGTAAATCATGTTGCATTTGTTCTAAATATGAAAACTTTTTTTCAAGTGTTATAATTTTCCTTTTTTTTAAAAATAAACACACATATATACATGTATCTTACAGCGCTCCCAAGAGGAAATGGAAAGCCTTGCACCTCTAATGAAAGTCATGAAGGCCACTTTGAGAGAAACCTTCCACAACTACAGATACTTCACTAGAGCCTGCAGCACCAATGCTACACTTTGAAGACAAGAGTTTATACAGAAACAAAAACTGATACTGCATATTGTTGTTGTTGTTGGGGTATCCCCCCCCCCCCCCCAGAGACATTTTGACAAATCAGAGGAAAAAAAATTGAGGTGCAAGCACTTAAATAAATGATTGCTTAATTCTGTCTAATTACTTTAGTTGTAGGATCCTGTAAGTGTTTGCCATCACACTGAGATGCCACTTTTTTCCCTAATTCCAAATATGACAAAATAGAGCACCCACTGTGAAAAATGCCCTTTACAGTTTGGTTTTTGGAGTGCATTTAAAGCAGAATTTGATATATAAAGACCAACCTCCCCCTTCATGTCTCATATTTATCTTCCTTTTTTTAAAATATCCCTATTTCACAATAAATGTGGGCCTAACAAAATTGCTAATAACCTATACTGATTTAGATGTAAGAAATAAAGTATCACCTACACAATCTAACGAGAACTATTACCTGCTCTACTCTTTCAGTCTACCGGTAAGCCATGTTAATGTGCTTCAATTGTAACTGTCCCCTCTGGCACTAAAACATTTTGTTTATGATGTGTCCTGCTTACACTGTTACACACTTCACAGGGGACAATGAAAATGTGCCAATGTCTATAAATTAAGCCTAAGATATTTCCAGTAGAGGGCATTAAGATTAAGTCATATATTTGTTTGTTTCCGTGGATTAAGATGATTTGAAGTATTTGAAACAGTTACCAGGCAAAGAGTAACAACTACATCTGTGCCATGGACCAGTCCTGCATAGAGTGCTAGAAAAGTGGTTAAACTTGAAATAAAGTTAGAATTAAAAAACAAACATTTAATGAGTTTAGCACTGAATAGTATATCAGGTCCTGTCATTAGTTCTAAGAGGTTAAATCCAAGCAGTGTGCCCACAGTGTGACCCTGTAGCAGAACAGCATTTCATACCTAATAAATCATTTACAACATCTGCATAATGTATTGCATGTATATACTTCTTGCATGTCTCTGGTTAAATGTGAGTGAGTCAGATATTATACCAGGGAGCCAAGACACCCCAACAGAGCTGACTAGAAACCTTTCCCTTTTTTTCATTGTTATTATTAGTAGTATTTTTTTATCGGTCAAACTGGTTAAAGAACATTATATCCAACACATATTAAGAATAAATGTCAGAGAGTCATTGCCATGGAAACGTTGTCATAGTGAAGTTGACAACCATTAAACAATCTGTGTTTGGGTTCAGCGCACATGCTCATTTCTGTGGAAAAAGCCTGTCACGGACTCTAAGCAGGATCGGGATTTTGTGAGGTAAAAATCACGAATCTGTTTACTTTATTTCACCAACTGAATAAAACTGAAAGCAGTCAGTGATTCGTTAGTTTGGAACGCAAACGGTAGAAACAGTTTTTATTTTTTTTGTTTTTTTTGGTGAAAGATTTACAGCTTTTTCTGTTAAAAACATAATCAACCAGGCCTCTGCCAAACAAAAGTCAAGCGTAAGTAAAGCCATGTATGATTCATGAACTTAGCTCGATGCTTTATATAACTCATTAACATGGCTAGCGCTTGTTTTCACAGGTGAGCGAAAAGCTGTTTTATAATTATTGATCACTTATGCTCAATCAGTGCGAGTTAGCAAATGACTAACGTTTCTTTCTGGCGTTAGTGTTGTTATTCATATGACATATGAAATGAGTTATGGTTGTCATTGTTATTATTGTTTCAAATCTGTTGCCATGATTAGCACCGTGGTGTTGCTGTTCCAGGTGAAGCCACACTCGTGTTACTACTGAGCCACTCAGAAAGGTGCAGGATTTGAAAGAACTTTGAGTTGGCAAACGCTTAAAGAGCCTTCATCGATAGTAATGCACTTTCATGACATGGCAAATATGCTCAGCAGAAATCTGCTAAATCAAACATGTGGACCTACCTGCTGTGGTTAATAAGGGATCAGCTGAATATATATATATATACCACAGAAGGATGAGTGATTTTATCTTTTTTCTTTCTTTCTTTCTTTTTTAATGTGCAAACCCCCCTTAGTCATTTTATTTTTTTTCCATGTCTTTCTCTGTCAAGGTAATAATGAAGGCTGATCCCTGGGTTGGCACCTGGAGGCCCCACAAGCCAAGAGGTCCTATAGCTGCCCTCTATGGTAGCCCGGGGCCCAAGTATGCACTGCCTGGACTCACAGGTAGTGTTAGAGAATTTTTTTTTTGTTATCAGCACAATTATTATTAGTAGTAGTAGCAGTAGTATTCAATAAGGGTGTGTTCTTCTTCTATGATAAAGGTGTGTCTCAGCACGACCCTACCAAATGCAAAGCCCCAATGTTCAGCTTTGGGATGCGTCGTAAGGAGGTCAATAATAACGTTTCCCCTGGGCCAAGATACCTGATTCCCACCAACATGACCAGAGAGGGCCTGAGTGGCATGCCTTCATTTTCACTCCACGGCCGTCCAAAGGAGCCCAAGTTCTTCGAGCCTCCTGGACCAGGTCAGCAGAACTCCTAACACATTAAACGCATATGAAGATGCTTTACTCCTGGTCTCAGTGTCTTTATACAAATTTCTTTGTTGCTGTCAGGTCAATATTCCCCAGAGCACTCAGCAAAGTGGATCTACCGCGCTGCGCCTGCTTATTCACTGTTAGCCAGGCACAAGGAATTAGGTGGCAACAAAACACCAGGTAAAATATGTATTTGTTGTTTTGTATTTGTACTATGAATAAAAAAGTTTCATAGTACAAAATCTGTAAGCTTTATCTCTTGCTCCTACTGCAGGTCCTGCAACCTATTCCCTGCCTCCCATGATAGGGAACACTGCGGTTGCATCTTCTGCTCCCTGCTTCTCATTACGTGGCCGCAACAAAATCGGAACCTTCTATGATGACCAAAGCAAGGTGCAGAGTTATATATGTAACATGTCTTTTAAGAGTTATATTTCCCTGAAAAATTTTGTCATTTTTTAATGAATTTATATTATTGGGAGGTTTTAGTTTCTTTGTGTGACCTTTGACTTCTCATGGACATCAGTTCCAGTAGTTTCCCACTGTACTCCTGTTTACAGATTAAACCTGTGTATAATCTTTACATCTTGTCTTTTTAGTGTAAAGCGTTTGTTTTTGGCTGAGTTTGTATTAGTTTGCTGTAAACAATTTTTTATGTCTTCTAAGTAATATTTATTGAATTAATACAGGTTAATATTGGTGGTAGTTATGAGGATTTGGTGTTAATTTAATCATTAAAAATAGAGTTTACACATCACTCTATGTAGTCCTCTAAAAAACTAAGTAAGCCCCATGGTTCGATAGCTTGTAGAGCCTTCATCAGCAATAACGTGAAGCAACATGGAGTAATCTTTCCCTGTATAACGTTTCTCTGATATGATTGTGGAGGTATTTTATCTCAGTCTTCTTTACAATATTGCTTCAGTTCATAGAAGTCTGCAGGCATTCCTTTATGCACAGCTCTTTTAAAGCCCCTTTAAGGCATTTGTGCTGATACGCTGTTTTGTTTTCTCCAAATGTGGTGCTGTGCGGTATGGACAAACATCTCCAACACTGGTCTTTGTTGTCTGTTAAGAAATGTTCTGGAAGTCTTGTGGTTTGATCCAATGCAACATTACACATGAAAACCATGCTGCCACGTTTTTTTTTATAGAGAAGACTATTTCTTTTGGCAACACTTCCAAACAAGCTGTACTTATTCCTTTGTTTTCTAATTCTACTGTCATGAACTTTTTCATTTAACCTGCTAACTGAGGCCTGAAATGTCTGTTTTTGTAGAGGTGCTCAGACTGGCCTGTGAAAAACTTTTTCATGTGACTAGTAAAAACAGTGTTTAACAGTTGTAATGGTTATACATGGTTATATAATGCATTTCATTGCAAATTTCACTTCCATTAAAATTTATCTAAATCATTGTAGCTATTATATATAGCTATTACACCTCTCCCCCAACAGGACCACTAGCTGACTGATAAGGTGTGTGCCATCACATTAAATTTCATTACTCAAATTCCAAAAATATATACAAAGCACATATAAAAACCTGCACAGAAATTGCATTGCATCATGATTATATATTAACAAATTTTCTATTTTATCTCATTTGCTGATCTACTTTTGAAATGGCTCATAAGTGAAATTTGCTAAGACAAGTTAAGATGAGAAGGGAGAAACACCCTTCAACCATCTTGTGGTTGTTGATATTGTGTAGTTTGTCAACTAGAGGGCACTTTGTAACTTACCTGCTGGCAACAGGTGTTTGCAAATCCACAAATACAACAACCAGCTGATCCAAGCAGCTATAGGCAGATTGTAAGTGAGTAACCTACAGCTTGTTGGAGCAGAGAACAAGTTTATTTTTAAACTGCACTGTCATATCATCTAAGTAAGGACTCATAAGTGATGATACGCAACAAATGCTTGGAAAATCTGTTTATGTTCCATGTGTCTGACAGAAAAAAAATAAATTGCCAAATATTGGTATCTTAAAAAATCCTCCGTCAGGCTCTATTCCCTATGTATATGAAACAAAACCATAACCACAACACAGACTGTAGCAGGACAGTGTGAGGCCAGACTGGTTACATACAGGTATAAAAGTTACTCAAGCAAACCCTAAAAAGCTAAAACCAAACCAAAACAAAAAAACCCCCTAGCAACTGTGGTTTACTGTTGTTGTCTATACTTTTGTTTCTCTTGGCTGCAGACTCCTGGCCCTGCTGCCTATAAAGTTGTGGACCCCAGTATTTATGGGCAGAAGCCTCCTCAATTCAGCATGACAGGCCGCAACTTCACTCCCGGTGAAACCACAGCGAAACCAGGACCAGGAGCATACAACCCTGAGCAAGTAAGAAACCTGATCATGTCGTGTTCTTATTATCCTAAATGCTCCACAAATATGAACATTTTTTATTCATCAAGATTTTTCCTTCCTAGGTAAACCTCACAAAAACCAAAGCCCCGAGCTTTACCTTTGGATTGCGTCATTCTGAGTACATCCTACCAGCTCCTGGGAATGTTATGGAATAGTGTCCTCTGTCATCTCTTAATTTAACTGGAAATGACCACA